TATATATATATATATATGCACCTTAGAATGAAACATTAATTTATAACAAATACGAGCGAGGCAAGTCATTACCAGAGTTGCAACTCGATCGCAGCAAGGTTCGATCGATCATGCAAGTACACGCACACACATTTAGAACATTAAATTATACTTTTATTATATTCATAAAAATTAAAATGTACACACCTTATTGTTAAGAATGATACTTGTATCAGCTTCTATATGCATGTATCGCGGTATGTATATTATTTAACAATAGAGGTATAGGTATTCTCGAGACAAAACGAGCTTATGAAATAAAAATACTTTTTCACAAATGGGAGAGTTTCGGAGAAAGAGGTGATTCGGTGTTTAGCTTATTTCAATGAATCGTAATATTATTGACTGCTTATAAAATAATACTATTACATAATAATCATTTCTTGATTCGACGACACAGTTCTAATGTATCTTTCATTAATAATAATTAGCGCTCTTGGCCTACGAGATCGAAAATACATTCTTGCTTTCGCGGCAAAGGATGGTAATCGTCGGTTCAAATAAGAACGTTTAATACGCAGCTACAAAAAAGATGAATAGCTTTCGTTAGAAAGAGAATTACATGAAATATATATATACATATATATATATATGTATATATACGTGTGATGCGCGCGCGCGCGCGCGCGCATACACACACACACACACACACACACAGGTATATACACGTTGTATACTGTATCGCTAGTTACATTTTCTTTGTTTGCTTTGTTACCTTTGCCTTTTCTTCGAGTGCCGCTAAAGCAGGCATGCTTCTAGTGCGTACGCGTGTGACTGGATATGCATGTATATCTATGCCTCTAGTAGTGACGCGTAAGAATCGCGCGCGGATGATCATTGACATCTTTGATCGTGATGTTGTTTGTTTGATCCTTTTAATAGCAGAACCTAACTCCTAACCGATAATTGTAAACTTAGCTTCTAATCGCAAGACTATAAGAGAAACATCTCGACACATGCTACTTGTACTTGACTTCAATCCGAGCACGAAGGAGTCGAGGAGAGAAACGAAATCTCTGATCTATCCGTCTGACAATTTTCAAATAATAATAATTGCTGAATAATTTAATTACGCGCTCTGAAAACATTCGTGTCGCTACAATTTTATTAATTTTATCGCGCGAGGCAAATTTTTTGATATCTCATCGAGGTACGAAGCGCACGCTCTCAGTTCCATCACCATTTTAAATTTCGGAGTTAAATTTCAAAAAATGTGAACGAGAAATTTGGAACCGTATCAATTTTTGTAGCACACATGTATTAGACGGGCCGTAATTATATAGAATTATAATTATAATTAATTATACATTCAATTCATGCAATTCACATTCAGAGAGAAGTAAACACTAAGTATATTATGCCAGAATACATACCAGCACCAGTGCACACAGAGGTACTTACTAGTTGAATCGCTATCTACGTTCTAAGTATCGAAATTTAGATTGTGCCGCATCAACAACAACGCGAGTCGGATTGCTATGCTGTGCAAAATGCGATGCAAAATAAGTGTCCAATAATCACCCAAGCGCCTTTTCACATTTTGCGTTCCACAATTCGCGAATCTGATCGACTCGCGTTTCGTTCCCAACTGTACGACACAACATCGTTTCTTTGACGTAATAAGAACTATGTGATTCGTGATACACGTCTTTAGATACGTCTACCAAACATATCAGAATTCATTGTGTTTTACGATCGTGTGTGTGAGACTCCTCTCATTTCGAGTTGAATTTTCGTATGTACCGCAAAATATTTCGCCATCTTACCGCGTATGGCGGTATAAATTGCCGGAAATTATTGCACTATTTACCAAGTAATTTACTATTTATGAATACACGAGTACGGAAAGGCTTTTTACAATTATACTTATATAATCGTGACACTCGAGAATGATGTTCCGTGAATGATGTTCTGCTGATCCGGTGAATACCTTTTCAGATAGTCGATAGTCGATATCGATATCGTTTGTCGTATCTCGTACAACGACGATCAACGCAATAATGGCCAGTTAACTATTTAAAATCTTTTTAGAGCAGTTTTTTATTTGTGAATATTACGCGATATCGCAATAAATGTAATTATAAAAATGTAATACGGCCTTAACTAGACTATTAAAGACTATTATATCGGACAGCAGAACAAGAAAGATATGAAATTACGAAATGATAAATTTATGCGAGACTTTATGCGGGGCTGCAAAAGCCGGTAAGAAGAAATAAGTAATAAACACATCCGTAAGCATATCCGTGATAAAATGTTAATGTTAATAATATGAATCATTTTTATATACGAATCATTGACATTGAGTCAACGTCTCCTACGAATTATCTCTATGTATAATAGCTCGGAGCTTTATATAACACTCCATTCAAATGCATATTCGGTGAATACAAACCGGCTAGATACCTTTTTTTGTCTTTAATTACACAATGCAAAAATAGGCTTTCCTATTTCCGGTTATCTACAACCAGATCAAATGACACAGCGCATTCTATCGATCTAGGAGAGAATTCCCGAAATCCTTATCATCTAGTATCAACTGTATCAACTCATTTGTTAGATTTCTGGCGGAAGCTTTACACACTTACAGCAGAAAATCGCCCCGATCGACTGAAACTATCTACGTCACTTGGGCCTTTTACATCGCTCTTGTAAGAGGCCGAAAAAGGCCTTTTACCTCCTCTCCAACTTTTTGCGTTGCGCAAACAACGAAGTAGATAGACAGAAGCAGTATCGATTCGGAGGCTTTCAACTTTTTAAACTAAGTGATACAGATTTAAATGCAGGTCCGTTTGATTCACGTGACGCGTTGTTTATCATACGAGGATTCCTCATTCCTCATTTCATCGGCGTGGATTCGAGCTACGCCGATGAGAATAGCAAGCTTGTTGACGCGTGACGCAGAACATTATTATTATTATTATATATTTATACGATATATCATCGTCGGGGGTATATCAACGATTCGAAAAATCGTTTCGCGATTTCTAATCTATGCGTATCATAGATCTATCGATCGACGAACGATGATCGTTACGGTTACGGTTACATTTTCACTCCTCAAGGGAGCGAGACGAGCTCTCGTCCACGGACGTGATTAAAATACTAAAAGCATACGGAATCGACGTGGATCAAACGGATGCGATACGACGCGTGATGATGTCTCCAACGAGTCAAAGTTGAATTCTTAATTTCAAGCGACAGCCACAGTTTATGACGTATCGCGGCTCGATAGTCACCTACTTAATCACATCGAGTTAAATGCGTGAAAGCTCTCACGAACTTAACGTGTGTGTGTGTGT